GCTGGGTAGGTTCAAACCACTAACCTTTAGGTTAGCAGTTGAGTACAAACATTTTGCACCACCCAGGGACCTATGTAAGCTACAGATCCCTTAAAAAATGAGAGGCAGACCCTAGAAACTGACCACCTAGAAATATAATAGAATTTTTGTCTTGATAGACATTTAATAATAAAATAGTCAATATATAATACTAATTAAGACTGCCAACTTTGAAATACGGCAGATTTGGGCTGTAAGCCCAGCACCAAGTCATTTCATCTTTCATGAGCTTGTTTCCTAATCTCTAGGACATAGATAATATCATACTTTATAGAGTTGTTGTGTAGTTTATATATTATATTGTATATAAGAAAAGCGCAGTGTCTTATATAGTAACCTTTCTATATATGCTAGCAGTTGTTATTATATTCTGTCTTGGATTATTTGATTCAAAGACTTGTCTACGAAAAGCCAGATGGATTAGGTAACAGCTTTATTTATTTATTTTTATTTTACTTTAGCTTCCGACCACCTCTCTGCAGAGAAGATTGAAGAAATTGCTCTTGAAGAGATAATTAACATTTATTTTGTTTGTCTCCTTTTCGTGTTTGCAGGGTGTACGCAGGCAGAAACTCAAGATGGTTATGTGAGCTTCTCCAATTTGGCTGTCTTGATCTCTGGGTCAAACTGGCACTTTATTTTTACTGTCACTTCCCCTCCAGGTAATTTCATCACAACGTTCTGTGTTATTATCCATTTCTCTTAAAAACGTAAAACGTGTTGTCGATAAGAAACTTCTCAGGAGGACTTTTGATTTTGAACTGGGCTTGGTGATCCTATGTACTAGACAACTACCTTCTTCTAGTTTCCACTTCAACTTTGTAGAGTGGACTTAATGACGAATCATCTCGTAATGTTTCCCTTGGTGTTTTTCCCTAAATTATTTTCCATAACTTTCAAGACCAAGTCTATGAGATGAGGCTCTGTCAGGATGAGATTTGCAACAGTTTAAACTTAGAAGAAAGTAGATGGAGGATAAAAAGAAACGAAAAACAGTAAGAGCCATGCGCTTCTGTGACCCTTGTAGACATCATGTTGGCTATCAGTACAGACCCTGGGAGTAACTCCTTGTTTCCAAGTATGTCAATTTCCAGCTCTAGGATTGTTTAGGAAAGTAGCTCTCATTCACATGTTTTGGCCAACCAATGAAATTTCTCCTTTCTAACAGGCTCCAAAACAGTGGGTGTGACAAGCAATGTTTCACGTTGTTGTTGCTTTTGGTTTTATATATTTTTGTTTCATTCATCCATGAATCAAGCAGAGAACCTGCCATCATTTTCACTATTTTTCTTCCTCTCTCCAGTATCTTACAGAAAGGTCCAAATTATTATTCTTATTTATGAAATCTAAAAATTGAAGAACTGAGGAGTTAAATATATCTGACGAAGTGTGTATTTTTTATGTCTGTATTGCCACTTCACATCATGGGCTAACAGTGCTCTCTTTTACCACTGGGAGTAGAGTCATTAATGCCTTAAAATCTAATCAAATTAGAGAAGCACATCCAGAAAACCCAGAACCAATTCCAAAAACTCATCCTTAAGATTCTGTTCCTTTAGAACCTGGCCTAGGTATCAAAATTTGTGTTAGTGTCCTGTGGCTGCCATTACACATTGCTACAAACTGGTGGCTTAAAACAACAGAAATTTATTCTCTCACAGTTCCACAGACCAGAAACCCAAAATCCAGCAGGGCCATGCTCCCTCTTGGGTTTTAGGGGAGAATCCGTTCTTTGCCTCTTTCAACTTCTGGTGGTTGCCAGATTCCTTGATTTGTGGCCGTATCACTCCAACCTCTGCGCCTGCCTTCACAGCACCTTCTCCTCTGTATCTGCATCTTTTCTTGTCTCTTCAAAGAACGTGTGTCATTGGATTTAGGGCCTGCCCAGGTAATCCAGGATGATCTCATCTGAAGATCCTCAACTTAATTACATCTGCAAAAACCCTTTTTTTAAAAAAGGTAGCATTCACAGGTTTCAGAGATTTGAAAGTGGACTTATCTCTTTAGGGGTCACTTTTCAACCCATTACAAGAATCTTCATAAGTCTTATGTGTTGATGAACCCAGCTCATTCATTATTTATTATCCATCTCGTTATGTTTATTATCCAGCTCATTATTCTGCACTTCCTGAGACACTGCCAGGAGATAAGGGTTTCAGTAATGTGCAGTATTAACGTCCTCTTCAGCTTCTTCACAGTCACTATCATGACCATGGTGCAGGCTGTGGTTTTCTAACCATTTCCCGGAAACTTGGAGTTCTCGGGTCCTTAGTGGCTGCTGGGTTTAGAACAGCTTTAGAGTGCCAGG